AATGCCTTTACTCACTCAAAGCAGTGCCTGGCTGCTTTGATGTCATGCTACTTTGAAAGCTAAAAGCACTGACTAAGCAAGTTACTGCTAGCACAAAGGAGAGAGATTGCAGTCTGACCTACTGGCAGCAGACTTCACAGATTGTGTCGTCTGCTTCAAAAAGTTTGCCCAAGGCATGGCGTGCTGCTGGATGTGAAGGAAGGGGATGGCAATTTGATGGGAACATTGGCATGCCATGCCCTTCATTGTAGGGGTTTCCTCAAGCCAAAGACAGTTGTCTCCCTGAGGTAGAAAAGGTGGTTTGATTAAAGGTGACCAGATGGTGCAGGAAAGGAGCAATTTCCAAAACAGCACTCAGAGATGGTTTGTGTTGTCACACCTTCAGTACAGAATTGATTCTTGCTGATGGATTGCCAAGTTCATCCCTTGGGGTAGTTTACTCAATGCATATTTTTACCAACATTCCTGTTAGAAAACTTGAACATATATTTCTCTACTTTAAACGCTTCTTCATTGCAAGGAACCCCATTTACCCTTTGTTCCAGGTTTTTGCTATTTTGTGAAGGAAGAGGGAAAGGCTCACACATTGGAGGATGTTCTGACTAAATTTCAGTCAGGGTTTGACTCAGCTCTGAAAGAAACATAGCTTTTTGCATTAGCAGCTGTCAGAATCAACCTTCAGAGGTTACCTCATCCAGTGTCACACTCGAAGGGGTACTGACATATATGTAAGATGGGGTTCACTATGACAGTATTGGGCTGAGTTTCAGAATCTATTGAGGATGGAGATATTGTGCCTTTCAGAGCCATGCCATGTCAAACTACTCCTCTGGTAAACAAAATTCTCTTACTGTCCAATTTGAATATTTATACTTTAAGCTCTAAAAAGATACGATTTTCATTGTATCATTTAGCCTAACTTTTCCTTGTGGGCTGAAATAGCTGTTGAGCTACTTTATATCTGAGAGGTTTCAGTCTCCTCTTTATATTCCTAGTAAGTCCTGCATGCATCTGTACATCTGGCAGCAACAGTGTTTTGTCTGACCTATGTGTCACTTTTTTCAGTTCCTATGAAATCAGTGTGACAGGAAGGAGTGTGAATGTGTGGGTGACAGAGATGAATTTGGGTGTTGCAGTGAAGAAGGTTACTATTTTTAGAGCACAGTCCTTGCCCATATGAGCACAATGCCCAAAGTTTCGCAGGGCTCTTTTTTCCCACTGAAGCAGACAAGGCCATATGGGTTCAGCTATTTCACTTGGATAGCCTTTCGAGGAGTTGGGGAAGAAGCAGAGGGAAAGCACAGAAACTGAATCCAGTTTTACTTCCATTTCTAACAAAAATTGGGACCAGGAGCATCTGAGCCTCACTGGAGATGGCTGTTCCACATTGAAGAAGGGGCTCTGATGCCCAGTGTATTTGCTGCTACATGTAAGACTGTATCCAAAGTTGCTAAGATGCGTTCCCATTTTTGCAAGAAAAGATAGGACGATTTTCATCTGATGGCTCCACTGCATTCTCCCTTTGGGCAGAAGTGCTTAGCTTTCTCTAGCTTTCTCTGGTGCTTAAAAAGAGCAGGGTGCAGGGCTGAGCAGGAGCTTCATCTCTGTCCTTTGGGGTCACACAGTGGTACTTGCCACATCTTAAATTTTAATCTGCAGTCATTTTTTGTACAAAAATGGTAAAATATATTAGTGAAAGTAATAAGGAAATAAAAAATGTTTATGAGTAACTCAGAGATGAAATGTGTAGTTGCAAACTCAGCTACTTTGCCTTCCATCCAAACTTATTTTTCTAGAATGCTTCATTCCATTTCATGATCTAGCAGCACAGATCCTGAAATCTTTTTTTAATGACTACTTTTGGCATTTTAAGCACAGTATTAAGTGAGATAGTTACATGAGCTTCATGTATTCATCTCTACGAAGCCACCTACAGGAGAGGAGTCAAAAGCAGGACTGATTTGTGTCTCTAGCTGAGTCTCTGATGTGGGAAGTGATGACAGACATCCTCAAAGGAACAAAAAAGTAATACCATTTTCCAGGCAGCAAAAAACAGCTCTGGAAAGTGTGAGGCTGCATCAGTCAGTTTGTCAGAGAAGGCACAAATTATCCTGTAAACTGGTCAAAGGGAGCTTTGGCTCATGTATGTATGCACTTTTTTTGCTTATGATGGTAGGTGGCTATCTGTGTGTTTTCCCCAAATGTCACTCTGATTATTTAACTACAAGTTTTTAGCATGTTTTTAAATAAAAACTGATACTGAGTAAAAGTATCTTTAATATACACAAATATTGATTTGTATAAATGCATACCTCTCTGTATCTCTAATTCATGAAAGCACAGTTCAAGTCTGTGAAAGTGCTATTTCTCTGAGTGTTCCTTCAGACTGTAGCATACCTGCTGTCTTACTGTCCTTCATGCTTGGAAGCTGCAATAGAACTTAAGCAGAGACAAAACAGGAGAACTGCCTGAAGAACCTCTACTTGAAAGCTGATGAAGTGTTAGCAGTGAATTCTGTTCCCTTCTGGACGTACCAAGGCTGTTAGTTACAGGAAGCCCAGGTGGAAGGTGCTCAAAAAAAGTGCCCATAGCATGTAAGATGTTAAAAACAATGACATAAATGTCTTCAAGATGACAGAAGATACCTTGGGTGTGTCATGCATTGAGTTCCTGGACTGTGGTCGCTTTAGGCCAATTCTCCTATCCTGTGTCCACCTCCCCATTTGTATGCATGTAATACAAACTCACACACAGGAGGGGTGCAAACAGGGGGCAGCCAAACTGATCCTCGAGGTCTTTCTTGGGCAACTAGTGGTCACACATAGAAAAGGTCAAGGGGAAAAGGGTGTTTTCCCATCAGATGGTTCTTGGGAGCAGCATGGAATAGCCCACACATAATTCTGATGTAACTTCTTTCCATAGAGTTGAGCAGCTTCATCCTGTAGCTGGCATGGGGAAACCTGGAGATGTCTGGCTGTGGGCTAGCCATCTGTTGTGCAGTAGATAGTAGACACTAAGAAACAACATGCCATTCCCACCGGGTGATGTTTGCACCAGTGTTTCTTCTATGCAATACCTACTTTCGCCTTTATATAAAAGATTTTTACTAGGATGATATAAAAATAAAGCATTTTTTCAAAGGTGCCTCTTTGAGCTCGTTTGTCTCCTAACCCCACCACCAAAACCAAAAAGGGACAAAAAATTCCAAACGGTGACTGAGAGATCTACTCCAGCTCCACTGCACTTGAAATCCAGTGTTCTTGAAACTGTTGCATCTCTGAAAAGATTTCCCTCCTCCACCCTGCCCCAGTCCTCTCTCATCCTTCAAAACAATACTCTAATAGAACAGAAATAAGTGTGAAAAGTACCCAAAAAATGGGAAAATGATTTTGAGAGCCTGTTAATATAGGAAAGAGATTGCAAGTCTCCCAGAGAATATAGAATAGCTGAAGAGAGGACAAAGTAGTAGAGAGCTTGAAAGACATCCAGAGGACACTGAGAAGTCTCAGACAAAATGTGAAAACTGATTAACACTCAGACAGAGAAAAACTGCAGAATAGCCTTCCAAATGCCAGGAAAGTAGAAGATGGCTTGAAAGATCACCAAATGAAACTGCGGAGCCAAGCAGAAGGGAACAAAGCAACAGAGGGTCTGAAAGAGATTCAGAGTATATAAATTAGCCTCAGGGAAGGGAAGAAAGCCTGTAAGTGCTCAAGGAAACAAAATATAGCCATGTCAAACTGGCCAAGAAAGAAATAGATAAGGCAAAGAATCCCTCAGAGAATACAGAAGAGGCTCAGTGATAACAAGAAAGTCTCAGAACTATGACAGGAGTCCCGGAGTACTCAGTAGTACCAAGGGTGGCCTCAAGAGAAGACCAAGAAAAAAAAGGAACTAGTAGAAAGCCTGAAAGAACTATGATAAACACACGAGAGACCCTGACAATAACAAGAAAGTATCAGAGATTCTGCAAGTGCACTGGGAGTGTATATCTGCATCTGCTAAGAGAGGAGAGAGGCTAAAAGAGCAACAGAAAAATAGCCTTGGAGAAGGGAAGAAACAAGCAGGAAGGCTGAAAAAGTCCCAGGAGAAAGAAGGGTAGTTCCTGAGATGCCATGAACCTTGAAGGGAAACTAAAACAGCTGTAGAAAACCCAGTCTAACAACAGAAAGGGGGGCTGAGAGGTGAGTGAGATACAAAACAAGCAGAAGGACTTAAAGCGCTCCAAAGTCATCTCAGTGAGAGGAAGGAAGAAACTGAAAAGCAGCCATAGCAGCTTTGAAGAGTCTAGGGAAGAAGTGGAGAGGTTGAGAAAGTCCCAAAGAACAAAGAAGCCTTGCAGAGCCTGAGAGACTAGAGAAGAGCCTGAAAGAACGTCAGAGAAGACAGAGTAGGCTCAGAGAAGTTAAGAAAATAGCAGAAAACCTATAAATGTGAAGGATAACAAAGATTAGCCTCAGAAAGGTGGAAAAAAGTAGGCCAGAAAGAGACCCAGAGATCAGAGTAGCCTTGGAGAGGTGAAAAAGTACAGCAGACTGAAAGAATGCTGAGAGAGCAGAGAGTGGCCTCACAGACATGAAGAAAGAAGCAGATGTTAAAAGAGTCCAAAGAGAGCACATGGTACCACTGGAAGGCCATGGAAGTATGAGAAAGACTAGAAGAATCCCAGTGTATGCAGAGTATGCTTAGGGCAAGCCCTCCTAGCTAGGCTGGAAAGCCTGTTGGAAAACATGCTCTTGCCCTTGTTCCTCAAAGCAGGGGTCCACTCTCGTGAAAGCCAAAGCTCTACCTGCAACACTGGCTGTGCAGTCAGGTGTTAACCCATAGGTTGGGGGCCCTCCTGCCCAAGCCTTGCCTTTCCACTGGCAGGACCAGGGAGAACCTGGGCTCCAATGCCCTGTAGCCACCCTTGGTTTACTAAGGTCTCCCATTACAATATCCTTGCTGCACACATGGATGAGCAGGCCAGGGGAACAGGCCAAAGTCTGGACATGCCTTAGTACTCTCTTCAACAGTCTCAGGTCTAATTCCCCTCAATCAACAGGTCACGTGAGGTAGCAAACAAACTCAGTAGATGCCTCCATACCTTGTAGAAGGAAGTTTCCAACCACTGTCACAGTGCTGGCTCAAGTGTGGTTCAGATTCAGCTGGCTGTGATGCATTCCTTGGCAATTCACAGCACCTGTGTTGTCCTAGGATAAACAGTGGGGTGGTGAGTGACTGCATTAGAGCAGATGCTGGGATGCATGTATGTGCACACATTTGAGTATGGGAATGTCCTGTAGCTGTGTGGAAGCATGGAGAGACTCTGGGGGTTTTCTTTTCTCACTTTGTAGCAGGTTGACCCTCACCCACAGCTAAGCACCACACAATATCTCACTCACTCCTCTCACAAAACCACAGTAGGATGGGGAGAGCAAAAGCGAGAAAACTCATGGGTTGAGATATATATAGTTTAGTAAGTGAAGGAAAAAGTGATGCAAAAGCAGAGTGATGTCCAGAGCCCGTCTCTGAGCAATGGCTACCTCCCCAAAATCTCTCTCTCCTCAATTTCTGTTACTGTATATGATGTTATAGAGCATACAATATTATTTGGGTCAGCTGTCCTGCTTGTGTCCCCTCCAAATTTTTGCCTACCCCTGAGGAGGGCTGAGTGGGAAAAAGAGAAAGCCTTTATGCTGCGCAAGCACTACTCAGCAATAGCCAAAACATATGTGTCTTATCAGGGCTGCTTAAGTCACAAATCCAAAACACAGCATCATACAGCTTGCTACAAAGAAAATTAACACTATTCCAGACAGACCCTAGTACACTCTTAAGCATCACTTGAGTGCTGGTGGATAGAGACATCATGAAGATTCAGAGAGATGGGGAATGCAATTTTGCCTTTACTTCTTACAGACGACCATCCTCTCCAGACTTCCCAGACAACCCCACAGTTTGCAGTGTGGCATTGTCTCTGATCATCCCACTCTTGCTCACTGCATTCCGCAGATACAGAATAAGCTACTGAAACTACAGTTGCTTCTGCTGCCCAATGTAACTGGGCACAAAAGTTCTCTGCAAATGCTTTTCTCTCCTCAGAGATAATACAGCTCAGCACCGGGAGCAAAGATGGAGAAGCCATTCCCTTCATCAGTGTTATTCACTAGGAGATGAGGTGGACAGCAATGCCATCTCCAGTCATTGAACAAGGTTGCAAGTAGTCCCTGCATTCTTTCCTAGGTTGTAATGAAAGGTGGGAGAGGAGTGCATTCGGCTATGGGTAAGGGTTTTTTTCTCTGTATGTAGAATTAATGTTTATATTGAAATCTTAGGCTGACAGAGTTCAGTGCAGGTGTGATATGCACATAGAAGCACAGAAGGATGTGTAGTATCCCTGCCATATATGCAAAGTATGCTACACAAAGTAAGGGAAGTAGGGCAATGAGTGAAGTTTAGTCATTAGAACAACACACAGGGAGCAGCACTGCAGGATCAATGAGAACCAGCCCCATTTTGTTTGTGTTATACCTGAGAAACTGCACTGGTGCTGGCAGACTCGTTTTTGAGGTTATCTTGTTCTCTGACTGTTTTGGCTGTTTGGCTCAGGCCTGGATGTCATTATGCAATGCTGCAGTTAGAGATACATGGTTGTGCTAGCCTAGAAAAGATAGGAGTCCAAAATGAGTGCAGGTATCAAAGTGTTCTCTGTGCCCATGAATCCTCCATGTCCTTCTCTAGAGAAAAACAAACTAAAAGCTCTCTGTGGTTCTCCTGCTGCTACAATTGCATCTATTTGCATTTAAATTCAATTAATGTCAGTGAAGAACTCCTCCTTCAAAACAACAAACAACAAAAAAGACAAATTGAGATGCTGGAGCTCAGTCTACCCATAAAAGGAGAGAGAAAGACAACTGGCAATTTTAAGCAACCAAGTAATGGTGAAGTATTGGGTATGAAAGTGAGACAACTAGGGGGAAAAAGAATATCTAGAAATATGATAGAAAAGCGAAAGGAGACAAGGAAGACTCTCGGCTGTGGGTTGTGTTCTCCATGGGGGTAGAACAGGTACTACTTGGGATCATGGCTTCCAGGCAGTATCACTGAAAAAAAAAAAAGCATCAAAGAACTAAGATGTCCCTAGACCTTTTCCATTTCCCAAAGAGTGCAAAATAGGCATAACCAGGGAAAGCACAGCAAGAACAGGGTTAGAAAAGTATCTTCTAGAACACAGAAGGATGCAGGAGAGTCAGGTTAAGAAAGACTGCTTGACACATCTAACAGTTCTTTGAACAACAAATCAAGACAATGTGGACTTTCAAGGAAAGAATGCATAATTATTTGCTTCTACAGCTTCCTCCACATCTCAAGACCAATGCCATATTTGAGGTGGACAGCCATTGCCTTTAGATGTGATGCTCTGTAATAAGTAGAGTATTTCCTCATTCTCTTGCCTGTGGGCAACTGTACTTGTGAGTGTACAAGTTTGTGGATACCACATGTATCCTACAATTTCCTTTATACTGCAATACACATTCCCATGACAAATTCTTACAGTTTTTAAAAAGTGGCAGAACACTGTCAATATTTTATTTTAATGGCACAGTCATTGTATTGTTATGGGCTTTTTTGGGGCATGGAATGTTTGTATTTCAATCTTTCTTTCGTTGTTCTGTTTGGTTTCTGCTTAATCTCAGTTAATGGTGGCAGAATTATATTTCATTATCGTTTACGTTATCATTCTGTTGTATGCATGCAACATCACATTGATTATTAAAAATTAATCTCCTATGAAATGCAAATACCAAAGAATCACTGACTTTCCCCCCTCAGAAAATGTTTAATGGCAGTTTACCTTCCTTGTCTTGTCCTTGATATACTCAAGGGCAGAGAGCAGCTCTTTAGAAGGACATAGACAAGCTGGAAGAATGGGCTCAGAGAAACCTTATGAAACTGAACATGGACAAAAGCAAAGTTCTGCATCTGGGAAGAAATAACTTCTGGCAACAATACAGGTTAGGAAATTACCTGACGAGCAGCTATTCTGAAAAGGTGTCGTGATCCTAGTGGATGGGAAGCTGGATGTGATCCCACAGTGTGCCCTGGAGGCAGTGTAGGACAACTGCACCCTTAACTATAAAATAGCAGGACCCTACCCAGGATCTCAAAGGAATACTAGGGTTTGTTAACCCTGTCTAAAACACTGTACCCAGTTTGGTGCCCATCAGTACAAGAAAGGCACTGATCATCTGAAGCAATTTCAGCAGATGACCACCACGACAGTCAGGAAGCTGAAGCACTTGCCCTGTAAGAACAAACTGGTGGACCTGGACTTGTTTAACATGGAGAAGGCTTGGGTGGGAGCAGCTAACTTCAATCTTCCAGTACGTACAGAGGTTAACAAGAAAACCAGGCCAGGCTCTTCACAGTAGTGAATGGTGGCAGGAAGAGGCAGAAGGCTTAAGCTGTAATGATTGGATAGAGGCAAAATTTCTTCACCATAATGGGAGTCAAGTATCAAGTACTAGAAGAGGTTGGCCAGAGAGGTTGAGCAGTCTATATCCTTGTAGGTTTTAAGACCTGACTGGATACAGTCCTGAACAAAATGACTCATGATTGACCCTGATTTAATCAGGAGGTTGTGCAAGATCATATAATCATAGAATGGCTTGGGATGGAAGGGATCTTAAAGATCATCTAGTTCCAACCCCCCTGACATGAGCAGGGACATCTTTCAGCAGACCAGCCTGCTCAGAGCCCCTTCCAACCTGTCCTTGAACACTTCCATGGATGGGGCACCTGCAGCTCCTCTGGGCAACCTATTCTAGTGCCTCACTACTCTCACAGACAGAAGTTCTTCCTCATATAATCTAAACCCTCTCTCTTTCAGTTTAAAACCATTCCCCCTTGTCCTATCACTGCATGTCCATGTAAAAAAGTTACTTTCCCTCTTTGTTATAAGCCCCCTTTAAGTACTGGAAGGCCACAATGAGATCTCCCTGGAACTGCCTCTTCTCCAGGCTGAACAGCCCCAACTCTCTCAGACCGTCTACATAGAAGAGGTGCTCCAGCCCTTTGAACATCTTTGTGGCCCTCCCCAAAGATGACTGAAACGCATTCCAGCCTGAATCCTATTTTAATCCCCTGTCTGATCCAATTAAAGAAGCACTATGTTAGGGTTCTGACTGTAATTGACCTCTACTTCGGCTGTTTTTTAGCAGCTTGGAGACACTATGTCTGTTATTTTCCTACCAAGTGAAGGCATCAGAAGGAAGACTGAGGGAACTCATCTCACAGGGTTATATCGAAAGGAAAGAGTCAATGTACACAAGTTGCAACACAAGAAATTCTGGCTGGACAGAAGGGAAAAACTCTTTACCCCTGAAAACAGTTCAGCAAACATGCCTGGGGGAAAAAAAAAAAAAGGAAAAAAGAAAAGGCTGGATGAGAAACTGAGCAATCTAATCTAGATTTGAAGTTAGGCCTGCTTTGGTAAAGAGACTGCATTAAAGAACTTCATGAGTCCTTTCAAACCTGGTTCCTTCTATCATCCTACAATTTATGTACTAGGCAGCATCAGGGAGTTCTCTCTTTTATTTCCATTTGACCATTCCCTGAAAGAACGAATTTGTAACTCAAATCATGTGTCCAAAACTCTCCAGTTAATGCCTTTTTGCTGCTTGAAGCAGTGGCTGATGAGAATCAATTAACCCAATTATGTCTTCTTCAGAGAAGCTGTTAGACTGCACACAGTACATAAGATATCCACTGAAATCTTTGGATTTTAAAGGTTTTTAAGTTGTTGTTGCTATAAAGAGTCTGGCATTAGCATGTAGCTTCCTGAGAATACAGTTGCTCTAACAAGCTATGTTTTCACTGTAATGAAGATATTTTTATCTCAAGAAAGGCTTATGCTCCCTTATTAATTATCAGTCTAAACATACAAAGAAAGGGAAGAAACACACAACATAAATCTCAATTCTATCCCATGCTTCAAGGCATAGCAGCAGAAACTTTCGTCTCCTAGAAAACCGTGTGTTGTGCTAATGTAGCTTCAGATACACTTATGCAAATTCTACAAAAAACTTGACCATTATTTTAAAAATCCACAACTGGCAGTAATAAAAATAGAAATAGGTGATTCAAAGAGGCCCATGTTAAACATAAAGCAAGCAAAAAAAGATGTTCAACAGACACTTAATAGCTAAGGTGGTAAAAGAATCCCCCCTACCTCTATCCTATGTATATATTCATAAAGAAAGGCAGGACAGGAAGGATACATCCCCACAATTTTTATGTGCTTTCCAACAATGTCAATACAAATATCATGGCTGAGAAAAGATGTCTCTACTTCCAGAAAGCTCCTTTATTCCAGAAGCCTCATGTTCATGCCAGTAAAATACCTCCAGTGATTCACCACAGGCTGCTTGACTTTTTAACTCAGAAGAATAACCTTTTCTAACTCTGCATTCAGAGGCAAGGTCAGCACAGCCAGAATCTGGATATGTATCCTGCCTGACACTCCCCAAGAATTTGCGAAATTCATTTTCAATCCACCTGTGTTGTTTTTCGCATGCTGCTCAACAAAAATCCTTCACTGCAGGATGTGCTTCACTGACTGCACACATGTATGATGACTACATGGTTTTTTGAAGTTACCAGGCCCCTGGCTGACTGCAGACTGATGTAGCTGCTGTTACTGCCTGCTTTTCTGCTCAGCAGCTCCCATCCTAGACTATCTGCACCAAAAGGCTGGGGTCAACTACATTCATGACTGTGTCCTCTCTTACTAACTGATCCTAGAATCATAGAATCATAGAATCAGCTGGGTTGGAAGGGACCTCTGAGATCATCAAGTCCAACCCTTGATCCACTACCGCTGCGGTTGCTAGACCATGGCACTAAGTTCCACATCCAGTTTCTTCTTAAAAACCTCCAGGGATGGAGAATCCACTGGGCAGCCCATTCCAATGCCTGATTACCCTCTCTGTAAAGAAATTCTTTTTAATATCTAACCTAAACCTCCCCTGGCACAACTTGAGACCATGAGCTGCTGCTGCTGAGGCTTCTAGACCTCAGTCGTACCATGAAGCTGCCCATGGGCCCTGAGTGCCCACAACAGGCTGCAGCTCTAATTGCTGCTCTCTTTGCACTGCACTGGCTGACCATGCTTTGTGCACGGTGTGATGGTCACGTCTGCTGCCATGCCTGGCGTCAACGTTGCATCAGTTCTTTAAAAAGCTGCATGTGCAGAAATAAATCCGTGTATGAGCCCAAGTGTACCTGTGCTTCACAGGAAAATGAGGAGTTGTATTTCACAGGAAGATGATGGGCTGTTGTATTACCAAATTACCAGTAATTGCAACAAATATTTCTTGGTAAAGCAGAGGCCCATTACTATCAAGGCCAAGAATCAAAAGAACTAAAAGACCAGGTGGTGGGATACAGAGCAGTGGAGGGTGTATCACGGCTCTGGTTGGTGCAAGGGACTGTTATTGGTACTGGATCTGTTATCTATACTGGTACAGGTATTGATACCGTGACTGGAACTGGTACTGGGCCTGGAGCTGGGCCTGATACTGGCACAGGTACTGGTATAGGTACCTGAACTGGTACTGGTACTGGAATTGGGACTGAGATAGGAAATGAGCCTGGTAGTGTTACTGGAACTGTGATTGGAACTGGTACTGGAACTGGTACTGGGACTGGAACCAGGCCTGGCACAGGTACTGCTACTGGTATTAGAACTGGGACTGCTACTGGAACTTGGCCTGGTACTGGGACTGGAACTGGGCCTGGAACTGGGACTTGAAGTGCGCCTGGTACTGGTATTGGTGCCAGTCAGGACTGGTACAGGTACTGGGACTGGTACAGGTACTGGCATTGGCACCAGAACTGGGACTTGTATTGGGACTGGGACTGGTGCTGGAACTACACCTGGTACTGGTTTTAGTATTGCTCAGTATCGGTACAGTGCCTGGGATTGGACTTGGACTGGGACTGCGCCTGTGCCTCCGCCTCCGCCACAGCGCCTCAGTGTCCCCCTCCCTCGCCTCACGACAGTGGCTCCACCCCTCGCGTTCAGCACCACCCACTCCGCTGTCATTTGCATACCCGGCGCTGACGAGCCAATGGGGCGCAGCCCAGCGCGGGCGATCGCCCCGCCCCTTCCCCGGCCGCCGGTAACGGAAGCGCCCGGAGCGGAGCGGCCCCCGCGCGCGGCATGTGGGGAGCGCGCCCGGGGGGGGCGGCGCATGCGGTGAGTGCGGGCGGGCCGCGGAACGGAACGGAACGGAACGGCCGCTCCTCCCGTCCTTCTCCCTCGAGCCCGTGCCCCGCGCGCCCCGCAGGCCGCTGCCCCCCCCGCCCCGCCCCGTCGCCGAGCGCGCTGCCAGGTTGCGCAAGGGGGAGGGGGGCGTTGGCCACCGTGTGTGTAGGAGCGGCCTGCGGCCCCAATGAGGGGCTAGTGGTGCTGTGCTTGGCTCGATTGCCCGGCCGTGCCCTTGAGCTGCAATGGACTCGGCTCTGGAGGGTTCGGTGGCAGGTGTGACTGCGACGGTGGCCTTCGGCAGCACAGAGCCGGTGCGTGGGGGTGCAGGTGGGAAGGGCATTGTCATTTCACCTGGTGTCCCGTATTGGTGTTGATGGTGTTCCTCCTCGCCTCCCCTGCCAAGCCCTGCACGCTACCTCAGACAAGTCTCCTAATCAGGTGTCGTGTTCTCCGAGGAAGAGCCGGAGAATCCCTTGGCACTGCTTGTGTTTCCAGCAGGGAACTATACCAAGTTGGTGTTTGTAGGCACAATGTGCCAAGTGGAAGCGGACAGCACAAGAATGCAGACAGAGTAGCCCATTGGGATACTGTTATATTTTTTACCACGAGGGTGGTGAGGCACAGGTTGCCCAGAGAAGCCTGGATGCCCCATCCCTGGAAGTGTTCGAGGCCAGGTTGGATGGGGCAGGGTGTTGGACTACATGGTCTTATAAGTGGCCTTCCAGCCCAAACCATTCTGTGACTCTACACAGTATGAAGCATGTTTATCATTCAAACATAAAGTACTTCTAGAAAAACGAGGCAGTGCATTACCGGTAGTAGTAAGGCCATTCAGTCACAGCACACAACAAGCATTCATCATGTTTGGAGTGATGTTTTTCCTGCCCAAGTAATTAGTTTAATTTGAACTGTTCTGGTAACTCCTAGATCAGTAGAAACAGTGCTAATAAGTCCTTCTCAAAAAGCTACTTCATGCTTAATAAATGGTGTGTGTTTGATATTAAATTAATCAGTAATTCCCACCAGCATGTTGGATTTGTGTCACCTTTGAGAACAGCTTTCTTGGTTTTATGGCTTTACATGTTCATGCCTTCGGGTCATTTCTCCATGCTTCTGAAGTATCCTGGAATCTATCTGCTTACCCTAGACTTTGTGAAGAGGGTAATATGTGGATTAAATGTAGTATTTTTGAAAGCCATGGGAATAACTATCTCCCTAGTAAATAAGTTTATTCTGGAGGCTGTATTGCCCCAGAGGACTGTGTGTTGACAGGCACTGGTAATCATGCCTCTCTGCTTGTAAAGACATGTCCTCTCTTGTTGGAAAGGCATTACTGATTTGATTGATCAGAGTCAAGGCCCTGAACCAGCAGTGGGATGGAGCTGAGGTCTGGCCATTTTAGTGGGAATATGAGAAGACTTAACATTACCAAAAAAGCCTGAATTGCTTTTGTCTTAGCTTTAAAAAAGTGCAGGCTGCATCTGCCTCTCTGCCTTCTCTCTGTAGTGTAGAACATAGCCAAATGCTTACTTGAGAGAAAGAATCAAGTTGAAGGTGAAAGATTATAGTCAAAAACTGTTGGCCAGTTGTGCTTTTAACACCAAGTGAATGTAGGTTCTGTGACTCTGTATTGCTGTGAGGAATAGAAGAAAGGAAGAAATGTTGGCAGATGTCCTCTGAAATAGAGAATGGTTTTCTTACCTCTTTCAAAATATTTTTTCCATGCAGCTGATGTACCGTTAGTGTAGTTCTGCTTGAACTTGAGGTAGCAATCCATGTGTGTAGCCTTGGGCAGGCTTCCATTTGTACTGAAGTAGGTTTGCCCTCAGTTTCTGCAAGTTAGAGATGTGGAGGTCCGCTTCTGATTCCCCTGTTTTCTGAACACTCTTTGGAGCTTTTGATGATTATAATGCAGTCTATAGCTGTTATCACAAAGAAGTATCTCAGATTGTTTTTCAAACAACCACTAACTTGGGAAAAGTAGGGGGGAGGGAAGGGTAATGTTAGAAGTGCCTTCTGCTCTCCTGCTTCTTCAACTCCTGCCCCCGTAGCACTGTCCAGGTGGTTCTTTCGTCTAATTTCCAGTATTTGTCTTCTTTAGGACCTTACTTTTTCTCTGGGTTGAAGTGATCAGGAATCAACTGAAGCATCTAAGATACAGACTGCATATTGTTTGACTTACTTCTGCTGGAGCTTATTGTTTCACTTCTTGGAAGCAGAAGTGAAATTGAGGAAATTTTTGGGAAGAGTGCCAAAGTGTTTTGGTTAAACAGTTAAGAGTGGATAAATTGCTGACCTTTTCTGGGAGTGGTGCAAGCTTCTTTTTCTGAAAGGTTTCCCCCTAGCTTACGTAGAATTTTTGCTTGGGGAGGTTGTTGCAGAGGGTTGACTTGTTAGGAAATACATGCAAGTGGAGACAAGCACTTTCAGAGTTTTCAGAATTTTATTGGCGAATGAAGAATGAGCTGAAATGTGGCAGGGACTAACGGGTTCTTATAAAGGTATTCTAGCAGAGCTCTGGTTGTTTTGAACTTGTCTAGCTGGTGTTTGAACTTCTGGTTTGCAGCATCCACACCATACCATGAAAAGGAATTCCTCTGGTTCAGGAAGTTTATCTTTCACTTTTTTTGAACTTGACATTTGCAACCTTCCATAGGTGTCTCCTCCATTTGTCAGAAAAAAAATTTGATTCTTTATTCCCTGTTTGGTTTTGTCATGATTTTTAGACCTCTGCTTTCTTCAGTCCTTTTTCTTCCATCCTGCAGCACCTCAACTGTGATAGTCATTGCTTGTGTGGAAGCCACTCTGGCTTATGCTGTGAACCTTCTCTGTAAATACCAGTACAGAGTACCAGTAATTTTACTGTGTCATTTTTAAGTGGGTGTATTAGAGGGGGAAACTGTCCATCATGCATTGTGGAAGGATAATGTAGCGTGCTCTTACACAGTTAAATAACTATATTCTTTGACTTAGTTTTGAATTTTTTTTCTTACAACTTTTGATATCCAGTCTGATTTGTTCAGTGTTGGTGAGCAGCTAGTAGATGGTTTCATCAAGCTGTTTGATGTAACCCCAACGCTTAATTTCTGAGTAGCATGTAATGGAGAGGCTGTTGTGTATATCTGAATAGCCTTGATCCTACAGCCATCAGTGTGAAATTTAGCACCTCTCTTTGGTATGTTAAAGCCTATAACTTGCCTTTACTGGCATACTTTACAGACAATTAAGAGGGTTTTGAAAATATTTAACTAACTTAAAGGATTTAATACTGTGTAAGGAGCAAATTGAGAATTTTCCTCTGAAAAAGAAAAAACAAATATGCCCTCCATCTGCCAGGATTTTTTGTAAGTATTGCAAATGCGAAATTTTTTTTTGTGTATATGTGTGAATGTTTCAGGAAATGCTCCAAGGACCATCAGAAGATGTATTTCCAAAAATGGAAAGTCCAGTTGAAGAAATGGATACCTCTGATACCCAGTGGGGCTGGTTTTATTTGGCTGAGTGTGGTAAATGGCATATGTTTCAGGTAAATCCCTATGAAGTTATATTGGCTGTGGTGGATTTCCATGCATCCAACTACCTATTGCTGAATTTGTCTAAATGTGCTTTTTCACTTATTTTATTTATTTTGAAGACTGATTCAAACAGTCATTGCTCTATTAGCAGTGAAGATATTGAAAGGAGTTTCCGAACAAACCCACATGGTTCTCTGTCTTTTACGACTGCAAAGTTTAACTACATGCTAGACTTTTCAGGTATGTATCTTTTCATAGAATAAATTTAAATAATAGAAGGTGCCAGATACACAGCACATTTGTTCATCCAGCAAGTTATTGTCCTCCTATCTAGTGCAAAAACATTTAATTGAAAATGCCACCTTTACAGGAAAGTTCATATGAGTTTGTAGAAGCTGCTGCCCTGTTACATTTTTTTAGTGTAATTTATTACTGTGCTAGCATGTCTTGTTTCATAGCTGTGCATCATGTTACTTGCTGCTTGCCTCAGCTGCAGGTGGTGTGTAGCATACATCGATTAAACCATGAAGTTTGAACTGTTTTTCTTTAACATGCAACTTCCTGTAAGCTTGAAAAACCTCTTCCATTCAGAGTCTGTTTAAGAAACATTGCTATGAAGGAAGTTTTCTGCAAAATACTGGCATCAAAGTGATTTAATAATTGTGCAGGTAGTTGAAGCCAGTTCTGTTCTCAGACTAATAGGCAAAAAGATTTTCTAGTAAATTGTAAAGATCTCACTTGTGTCATTCTTGTTAATTACAGAATATTACAGGTTTCTAATGTATGCAACTAAATATAAATGTAATCTGTTCTTTGTTCGAAGATGTGTTCGAATAACTTCCTTTTTTTTTTTTTAGTTTTTCCATTTGTAGATTGTTTATTTTCTGATTAAATTACAAAACGGCTATATGTTTAAATACAGGAAATCAAGGAAATAAATATGTATTCTAATATACTCAAATTTCAAGTATTTCAAATACAGAAACTGAGGACTGGGTAAAATAACAATGTACTGGCCGTAAAGTAGTATGTAACAATACAAGAAGGTTTTATGTTTACTTATGTTGAATTGTCTGTTTCATATAACTGTTTTGCATCCAGAATAAAAACACTAAATGCAAATATTAAAGAACAATTTTTGTCACTGTCTGTAGGTCATATCTTACATTAAGGATAGTAGTAATATTCTTTGTTGTCCTGTTAAAGTCAGTGGAAGTTTTGCCAGTGATTCAGTGAAACTGAATTTTAGATGGGTATTCTAAAAATAAACATTTTGTATGTGTAATATTTGTGCATTTTGCCAACTCATAAATGACAATGCATTCAGAAATATTTATTGAAAATGCTGATTTGTTAATTGCTGAAAAAAGAATCCCTGTCAAGCAACTTAAGGTGTTGTAATGTTATTTTAAAAAATGTCACGTAAATGTTTCAGATGCTATAGATGAATTCTAGAAATTTTCAATTTAACTTTTGTTTTATGCTCAGTGATGAAACAAATCAACCTGACTACCCTTAAGCAACGTCCAATAAAGCGAGCTCCCTTTTCTATCAATTCATTCAGGTAAGGAAATAAAAGGAAGACTCCTTATTTTTATTTTATTCCTGATTCTTCTAAGTAAAATGAAACCAAAAAGTTTTGTCTTTATTGTTTATATTTATTTGCTTTTTGCATGAAACAGTTTGAGAGGCGAACCAATGTGTGAGAGCTAGTCAAGTGAAGAAAGAAGACATTTCATCAGAGTGACAAGAGAATTTTTAGTTTATTTTTTATCTTTTGTTTTCTCAGAAAGCAAGGAATTTGTATGGAGAGAGGGAAGGCATGCTGTATACTGATATCCTTTGGCAGGGTTCTTAAAGCTGAGCTTGACTTTAGCCATTGGACTCGCTTGCTCCTGTTGAATCAGAATTGGGACAGTTTGTTCCATTCATAAATTATTTAGAACTATTACTGTAACAGCAAAAAAGATTGAGTTATATTTTCTTGCCTGTGTTTTAGTCATTTGCTCTAAAATGATTTGAAGTTAAAGAAATTGTGTTGTAGCAACCAGATTTTTTTAGTCTAATTGCTTTAGTTTTTTACCTTTTGATCGGTCATTAGATGGAAAGCCCCGCTGATGTAAATCTGATGTTCTCTCAGCAATAAAGTGAACTGTGCAGTGATACTGCCACAGGTGAAATTGACTGCATGGAATATGTGGGGTTTTTTTCCCCAGATAGTTTCTGAGAAATAATTATACTTCTGAATTGTAGGCTGGTTATACATTCAAAATGAAATTTGTCATTTTTCATAAGAAATGTACTAGCCATCTGTTTACACTTACTTTCAAGAAGGCTTGGTTTTTTTGAAGTGTTAGCTGTTTTTTCACTAGATATTTGCTGAACAGTGCATGCAATGATGTGGCAATTTACCTTTTTTTGTTTCTCTAATAATTGCATTCAGTACTCTGATTTCCATGTGATGACATTGTTTACTTTCAGGTGATTCCTTCTTTTAGTCCCAGTTTTAAGGCTTAAAAGCTGCTACATATGCAGTGCATATGCTTAAAACGCTCTTTTTTAAGGCTTTGTTGTTTTGTTTTTTTCTTTTAAATAAACTGTAATTTTCAAGTGTGTATTTTTAACATGATGCTTTTAATTACTTCAAATGAGGGCTCAGTTTCCAGATAGACTAGTTGTAATTCCTCATAGTGTGGAGTGTTCGGGCTGTGTGTTCACTGTCACATTTCTAAATCAATGTTGCTCTAGTAATGTTGTGGAACTTTTTGACCACTTCTTCTGCTTTATCTTCCTGTCTTCTGTTGGGTACATGGTGTATTAAAACTGTTCATTGCCATAGTTTAGTTATAAAAAGCTAAGGGAGAATTTGAATACAAAATAAGACCTCTTGCCTTTGACTTTACCTGCTGGCAACAGCCTTTGATTGAATTAAAACCCTGAGTAGTTCTGCGTAAACCTTGTGGGGTTTTGGTCTTTTTGCATACTGTATTGTTTGGAGCAGGAGTTTGACAGGAAACAAATGCCTCATGTCTTTAGTGTGATGTATTTTTACCTTTTTTGTTTGAAGTTTCATCTGTGAAAATGAGGCTATCCCTATGCCTTCACACTGGGAGAATGTAAATACTGAGGAGCCATACCAGGTAAGAGTTGGTACGCAAGTTGGTCAAAAACGTGGGATAATGAAATAATGCATTGAATTGAAATCGTACTAACCTCTTTTTTTCCAGCTTATTCCATTGCAAAAGAAAACAAATGAATATAATGAAGTTTCTAGTCTCTTTGGAAAAACAATGGATAGCCACCGAATTAAAAGAATTAAGAGAATACAAAATCTAGACTTGTGGGAGTTTTTTTGCAGGTGAGATTATTTCTAAACCCAACAGTCTTAGGATTGTTAATGGAGCAAGTTTTGAAGTCATGTAGCAGAAATATGTTTAACTGTTTTTATTATTAATGAAAATTTGTGTTACTTTTTATCTTTTAAAAATTTTCTTATTTGTCATTTCTCTCTATTCAAACTTCCATTTTCAAGACTGTAGCTTTTACAGGTGCAGAAATGTAATACTTGTAGAATTGCATTAGTTGTAGTGTAGCACAGATAAGACTAATGCATTAAAGATGTTCAGAATGTCTACCTGCCCATAATACTTACAGTGAAGGAGAACAAAACCAAGCTTTTTGTAAAATAAGTCCTTGAGAAGATTGTATTATTTTAATTTTTACTGAACAAAGCAAATGAATATTTGTGTCTTGTTGAGTTTCTCAACCTTATGAAACCCAGGACAGAATTAAGTGTCTAATAAACACATATTTCTCCAATTTCCTTAAGTTTAATGTACTACAAAACCTTGTTCTGAGTTCTTGGCTTTTCCCTCTTCATGTTGTGCCAACCTGGAAGAAGTAGGAAGTGCTCAGTTCTGCATCCACTTATTTTGCAGTATCAGTCTTAAGCAGTTGTATTGTGTAGCCTCTAAGAAGGAGTACATATCAGAAGTTTTAAAGATGTATTACACTAATAAAACCAACTGAACTAAGTTAAATAGTGAGGAAATAACTAAGAAGATGTATATTAAAATAAGTTTTGTGATTTTTTTTTTTGAAAGATATGTAATTTATTTTTAATTGAGAGCTATATCACTAATATATATAAAGAAATTATTTTCTTTATAATGCTGATGGTTAAATGAGTTCTCGTACTCTTAATTAAGTTTGTTTATTCTTGGAGAAGTAAGGAAAAAGGTCAGCAGAACTGCTGCTTGGACTTCAGAGGTCAGACTTTGGCTTGTTTAGAAGACTGTTTGACAGAATCCCTTGGGAGACAATCCTGAAGGGCAAAGGAGTCCAGGAAGGCTGGGCATTCTGCAAGAAGGAAATCCTAAAGACTCATGTCCCTGTGTGCTGAAAGACAAGCAGTCGAGGAAGAAGACCAGCCTGGCTGAACAGAAAACTTTGGATGGAACTTAGGGGAAAAAGAGAGTTTATGACTTTTTGGAAGGAAGAGCAGGCAACTCAGGAGGATTAAAGGATGTTGTGATGTTATGCCAGGAGAAAATTAGAAGGGACAAAGCCCAACTAGAACTTAGTCTGGCCACTGCTGTGAAAGACAATAAAAAGTATTTTTATAAATAAATCAACAACAAAAGGAGGGCTATGGAGAATCTCCATCCTTTACTGGATGTGAGGAGAAAAGTAGTGACAAAGGATGAGGAAAAGGCTGAGGTACTTTAAATACTGAGGCAAAGAAGGCATTAACAGTAAGACCAGTTGTTCTCCAAGTGCCCAGACCCTGACCTGGAAGATGGAGACAGGAAGCAGGATGGAGCCCCCATAATTCAAGGGGAAATTCTCAGTGACCTGCTACACCACTTAGACACACACAACTCTAGGGGGCCAGATGGGATCCACCTGAGGCTACTAAGGGAGCTGGTGGAAGTGCTCACCAAACCATTTTTTTACCAGCAGTCCTGGCTCCCCTGAGGAGGTCCTAGTAGACTGGTGGTGAGCAAATGTGACACCCATCCACAAGAAGCATCGGAAGGAGGGTCTGGGGAACCACAGGCCTGTCAGCCTGACTTTGATGCTTTGGAAGGTTATGGAACAGCTTTTCTTGAGTGCCATCACACAGCATGTATGGGACAACCAGGGGATCAGGCCCAGCCAGCAAGGGTTTAGGAAAGGCAGTTCCCAGTTGATCAACTTGTTCTCCTTCTATGACAAGGTGCATGAGGGAAAGGCTGCAGATACTGTTTACCTGGACTTCAGTAAAGCCTTTGACACTATTTCCCACAGCATTCTGGAGGAGCTGGCAGCCCATGGCTTGGACAGGTGCACTGTTCACTGGTAAAAACATAGCTGGATGGGTGAGCCCAGAGAGTGGTGGTTAATAAAGTTATATCCAGTTGGTGGCCAGTCACCCTGATCTCCAGGGATCAGGGTTGGTGCCAGTCCTGTTTTGTATCTTTATTGATGATCTGGACGAGAGGATCGAGAGCACCCTCAGTCTGTTTGCAGACAGCACCAAGCTGGGTGGGAGTGTTGATCTGCTGGAGGTTAGAAAGGCTCTGCAGAGGGATCTGGACAGGCTGGATAAATGGGTGAGGCCAATTGTATGAGGTTCAACAAGGCCAAGTTCCAGGTCCTGCACTTGGGTCGCAACATGCAGCACAACAGGCTTGGGGAAGAGTGGCTGGAAAGCTGCCCAGCAGAAAAGGACCTGGAGGTGCTGTTTGACAGCTGGCTGAACATAAGCCATCGATGTGCCTAGGTGACTGAGAAGGCCAATGGCATCCTGGCCTGTGTTAGAAATAGTGTGGCCAGGAGGACCAGGGAAATGGTTGTCCCTCTGGGCAGTGGTGAGGCTGCACCTTCTGTGTTCAGTTTTGAACCCCTTACTACAAGAAAGACACTGAGCATGTCCAGAGAAGGGCACTGAAACTGGTGAAGAGTCTGGAGCACAAGAGTTTCAAGGAGCAGCTGAGGGAACTGGTATTGTTTAGCCTGGAGAAAAGGAGGCTCAGGAGAACACCTTATTCAGCTGCCTGAAAGGAGGTTGTCGTAAGGTGAAGGTCAGTCTCTTCTTCCCATATAAGAAGCGACAGGACAAGAGGAAATGGCCCTCAAGTTGTGCCAGGGCAGGTATAGATTGGATATTAGGAAAAGCTTCTTCCCTGAAAGGGTTGTCAGGCATTGGAATGGGCAGTCCAGCACAGTGGTGAAGTCACCGTCCTTGGTTTAGTGGCAGACTTGTCAGTGTCAGGTTAATGGCTGGACTCAAAGGGTTTTTCCAACCTAAATGACTCTGTAATTCTAATTGCAAATTGATTTGCTTATATTTACCTTGTGTAAATATTAAGGCTTATTTGCTTGGCCTTGTGTTTCACCATCTACCTTCCTAGAATTATGTTTCTCTAGAGGTATATTTATACATATCTTAGTTTCTGACAATAGGAGTGGCAAGCAGGCTTCAAAGTAAATGTTCTTTGAGTCTCCAGTGTAGATGGCAGAGGAAGGCTAAGGAAGACCTTTTTTTCCTTAGTTTAGGAACTGATATAATTTGGAAACTGTACTAGTTTTCATGACTGGTCAGTGAACAGAATTCGTAGTTTAAGAACTCTGAATCTATGGATGCTGTGCCAAAATACTCTCAAGATATGAAACTGAGAGTGGGAATTAGAATTTCATATGTCAGGAGTATTACAATATCACCATATAATTGACTAGAAACCAAAGTACTTTTTAGTACTTATACAGTATAAAAGTATATGGAGAAAAGTAATTTCAGTTTTAAAATATTTTTTCCTGTATAAAAACAATACAAGTAGCAATGAAAATTGCTAGATTAAGTGTATGCAATTGAGGCTTAGCTGCTTTTCTTCTGAGGGTAAAACACTGCCTTGGAGTAGATGGGCTTACAAACACTGGTGAAAACATCATTGCCTGGTAGTATATTAGAAAGTAATAGGTATTCCAGCATTTCGAATTCCCTAGAAGTTTGTTTGGTGCCCCAGGTAGGAATGTTCAAAATAAGATGAAGCTTAGTCTAGCATATTTTTGTTTGTGCATCTCAGTTGCAGTTGCAGAGGAGTACAGCAAGTAAAAATGGTGTTGGTCAATCAGATTACCTAAGTGCTTGCATGTGTACAAAGAGCATCTCTATGGGTACTTAGTTTTGCTGTAGGTTTTTCCTTTTATTGAGCAAACTGGCTGTACAAAAACATTGTGAGTGGTGGATTAATTTTGTTGAGCTGGATTAGCTTGTCAGTGCTGGTGAAAACTGCTAAGATGATGCTTTTTAGAATAGTTGGGCTCCTCGATTTCTGTTCCAAATTAACAAAATATCCTGTTGTGGCATTTCTTCATTCTGCAGAACCAGCTTCCCAGTGTGCCCAGTATATTCTGCTACTTATGAGGAACAATTGCTACTTAAACTTTCGTAGTTTTGAAAAAGTGTTTTGTTTAATTGATAAGATCAAGGATTACATTTGAGCATTGCTTGAATGATTATTTGCATCACTGTAGTGGTCAAAACACATTTGCCTCTTTCAGTAGTTCCCATATTAATGACAATTCTAAATTGGTTTTAGGAAATAAACTGGTCAGAGATAGTGAAGGACTGTTACAGAGCATTCTTTGACAATTGAACATTCACTTTTTCTATAAATTTGTTCTGTTCCCTTGTTTCAAGAGAAGTTAGGCTACATTATGTATTGCCAGAGATGATCAGCCAGCAATAGAGGGCTAATAATAGAAAAATTTTGAATGTTCAGCATTAGTAGCCCTTAGATTGAAAGGTGTTTCCTCACACAGGTAGTTTTCTCAAGATGAAGGGAATCTTGGTTTAGTTGAACTGCTAATAGAGTGGAACTTGAGTGCCTGAAGCCTGTCTGTCTCTGATAAAAAAATATTCACTAATAAGATTAGTAGTGAAACTCCCAGATGCCATTGAGATTATACTGACATTCTTCTTATTTGGAAAGCAGTTGTAGGGAAAAAAACATACAGAAAAAACTGAGTTGCCAAGACATAGATATTTTAGTTTGCACTGAGTGGGGCAGAAAAAAAACCCAAACAAAATGCTGAACAATAAAACAGATAAAAGTATCATTCAAGCTAACTACTGCAAGATTTTCACTTCTGTGAAATGTACTTATTTATAAATAAAGCATAATAGCAATGTAATGCCATTAATATGATCAAGAGTCATCACTGTCTGTCTCTTTCTCTTTCCCTGGATGTTTTTGATAAGACTTCCCCAGACTGCTTCTAAACTCTTCCCCAATTCAAGCATGCACTCCAGTTATAAGCAGATTGCTTAATTTGATAAACCTGAGTGTGTGGCACTGTGCCCCATGCACTGTAGCTGTTATTGGAAGAAAATTCAGGTACACAGATTAGAACAAAGCAGTGATGTGCTCTGACTTGACTTTGCCTGGACAGTCAAGGGATCATAACTATGAACAGCTCAGTGAGTTAGACACAGCTGTAGAGTCAGCTTCTTCATGGATCTTAGGAAAACCCAACTGACAGAAAGTCACTTAAAGATTGATGGAAAATATATCTGCTCTTTAATTGGAAGTGTGCTATGGCTTTCCGTCCATGAAACTAATATACATTCACCTGTAGTATAAGGAGGGTTTTTGGTAGGGTTTTTGTCCAAAATTTTAGAGTGACGTAACCCTGCCAATGCACAACTATGTCTTTTAAAAAGTATTAGTGAACCATATTAGTGATCATGTGGAAGTAAATTTGCCTAAAACATTAGGTGATTTTATTTTTAATATTTGTGCAATTTACCTAGGTAGTAGTACTTCATAATCTACCAACTTTGCTATGCCTCCCACCATGCTATTTAAGTAGGTGAAGGGAACAAAATGTGAGAAATATGTACTTTTTTAAAAAATCTATCTGTAGAAAATGACCACACTACAACTAATGCCAAATGAACTAAGGTGATAAATTGGTATAAAAAACCTTTTTTCCTAACCTTGGATTATGTCTGAAAATAGTCCACAGCATTCAGAAAACTGTGATTTCTAAACATGTACCTTAATAATTCTAACCTGTTTAAAAAATAGAACCATCTAGGCATTTGTCAAAGTGGACTGTATGCAATGTTTTAGGTTTGTCCTCTCTGCAGTGTTTTCACGGTAGTAACTTAATGTGATTGTACAGCTGTTTGTAATGCTGTATTGTGTGTTTTCTGTAGGAAAAAAGCTCAACTGAAGAAGAAAAGGGGTGTCCCAACGATTAATGAGCAGATGCTATTTCATGGCACCAGTAATGAATTTGTTGAAGCAATATGTATTCATAACTTTGACTGGAGAATAAATGGGATGCATGCTGCTGTGTATGGAAAAGGTAAGTATAGTTGTCACATACAACAGTTTGGTAATCCTAACAGTTCTACATTGATAAGTGTTCCTTATAGATTATACTTGGTGATGCACACTCTCTGTTTGTCCAAGAGCTGTTTAATACAGCTCTGCTTTTACATCAAGTGTAATTAAGAAAGTTAATTACATGTAATCACAACTGGCTGGTAGGACCAGGGAGCACGGGGAAGGGATGCCCAGCAAAGCAGTGTTGATCACAAGACAATCTCCCTACTGAAATGTTCACACTAAAAATATTTGGTCATGTTGCTGTAATTCAACAACTTAAATAAAAGAAAAAAAGGATTGCTAATGAAGATAAAAGAACAGACATTTTTCATCATCCTGGTACCTATATCCATGCTCTAGTGGTTAAGCTGTCATGGTAAGAATGTGATCAGATTTCTTTTTTTTTTATTTGAAAGGGACCTACTTCGCCAGAGATGCATCATATTCCAGCCATTTCTGCAAAGAGAGCATGAAGCACGGAGATACTTTCCAGATTCATGGCGTGAACCTGCAGCCTCATCTGCATAGACCAGATAAAGTCATGTTTCTTGCTCGTGTATTAACTGGTGACTATATTGGTGGAGATTCAAAATACATAAGACCTCCTTCAAAAGATGGAAGTTTTGTGAACTTGTATGACAGCTGTGTGGATAATACCTGGAACCCAAAGATCTTTGTCATCTTCGATGCCAACCAAATCTACCCTGAGTACTTAATAGAATTTTGTTAAGTTTGAACTGAGTATTGTTTGTGTATTTTTGATATTTTTGTTTCTTTCATAAAGACAACAACATGAAAACATGAAGCATTAAAGGAGAGATGTGAAAGAAAAGGTGGGATACATTTATGGAGGAGGCAAGCTATTAAGTACATAAGAGAGATTGGTGAACTTTTTTAAAAAAATATGTAAACTTTATTCGTGCATTTTTCAAATGTAGAGACTGTTAGAAATTTGAGATTGCTTAGTGATCCTTAAATACATTGGTTGTTGGGAAGTTTTCAAAGGCAAGATTTTACATTCTGATTTTTTAAAAATATGTTAAAATTATTAATGTGGTAGAAATATGCCTCTAATATAGTATGCATATGATGAAACTAATCTTTTATAAAGATTGTCTATAAAACATAAAGTAACAACAGCAAAACCCCAGGGGACTTGGCTACATATGTGTGTTTGTCTGTGTTCTGTATACACGTTGCTTTGTGTTTGGAGGTCTCTTAGTTTGTATTCTAAACGTATTAAAAAAATAAATTTATAGTACCTCCATCAGTTTTCTCCAGATAAAGTTCAACAAAGATGTTAGGTTTAACTTTAGGTACATTTTACTGTAAGCTTCAATTATATACTTGCAAAATTACAAAGCCCTTGCACTAGGATTTGACCTTTGATTTTGATAGAATTGAGGCCACTAAATTCTTGTGGTTGTTAATTGTTTTGTATGCAACTGCTGAGCTCACTGTTGGGATATCAGCAGTGCCATACACCTTTCTGAGTTCTTATTCTATGGAATTTTTTCCATCTTGTTACAGTATTCATGTGCTGCTGTGGTTCCTGTCTGGTTGGAGTTTAAGAAGCATTCAGTGCTCATGTACTTACTGTTACTGAAGACAATGTTTAGATTAACTTTACTGGAAATAATACAGTTAAACTAACAATGAAAATTTCAAAAGATGCCATCCTTTAAACACTTTAATAGAAAGCTTTCCATAACAGTTGTGTTGGCCAGGTTTTCATAGCTGGTATAGTTCACATGTAGAAAGAGCCAAAGAGACAATATTTGGGTAAAAAACAAACTTGAGTACCTAAAAGCATGAAGAACCCGAAGAAGGGGCTGTTGCAGTGAAATGCACTTACCTGTTAAACGATTTGCTATGAAATTGTGTCCCTTGTGTTCTTTGTTAAAGGACCTTAGTAGCACTAATGAACAAAGCTGAAGCCTTTTGACCAGTAACAATTCCCTGTAGAAATAGTATGTATTTGTGGCAGATATAGAATGATCTGTATTGGTCTATTATAGAATTGTTAATTGACGTATTGGATCAAAGGCTCTGTTTAAAATCTGTTGTATTTAAAAGGCATTGCAACTTCTGGGATGACCACATCTGCTAAAAGTCATATTAAACCGATGGAACTGGAAGCAGAATATGACTACATATCTGGCATCATAATTGATGACACAGATATCTCCTTAGTGCTGTTATTGATGCCTGTCAGTAGATCTTACACAAGCTGTGTGTCTGTTTGTATCTGTAATTTCATGGCAAGTTTTCCTTTTGCTTCTATCCCTAAACCATTTAGGGCTAAAATGCATTTTCCTTTATTTTAGGAAATATGATTTCTGATCCCAGTTGGGAACTCTAGGTTCTACTGTTGTAGGTATGATTTGTGTTTGATTCACTACTAAACTAGCTGTGCAAAAGGCACTTTGTTCCCCATGCTGTATAAAATAATAGCAGATCACACAGGGAATTTGTGAATTACTGAGTCCTTTGTATTCTGATACAGTATTCTACAGAGCATACATTTTGTGAAACTAAAAAATAACATGTGCTGTTGTTCCTTTGATTTGGTCTTTTTTTCTTCTGAGATCTGAACTGACCTTTTTAGTTAAGAAAACTGAAGTTTCTTTTTTTGCATCTCATGGACACAAAATACCATAATCTATACTGATCTTGGAGACTTTTCCAGTTGTTGGTGTGGTGGTGTCTTGTTTGCTACATAATTCAAATTGAATGGTAGAATCTTAATCTTACCAAATCATTGCATAACTGAAGTTTTAGCTCTTCTTTCAGTGTAGTGTTGTGCTTTTTGGTGTCTATTTTTGTGCTGCTGAATATGTTATCAAAGCTGTTTGTAAAGTAACCATCCTTTTTCTGGCAAGGGGAGATAGATTATTATTGCAAAGTCCAGAACTGTACAAGTAGCCAGTACAGGAGATAGTTGGACTTAATAAAAGAATCAGTGAGAGAGGAAGGGGAGGAAAATAATTTCTTGGCCTATGGAGTATTAAAAAAACCAAAAGGGATTTTGTTCTGAGTCTGGGGAAGGATACCTGCTATTTTCTGTTACTATTTCATGTAGTGAATATTTATGCTCCATTTTGTTTTTTATACCTGTGCAAGAGGGCATGTCATTCTCTTGTGTCTTGATCCAAGGTAAAGCTTTCTTACTGAATTATTCTTATGGCAGAAGATTTTCACATGAGCACAGCACTTAAGTATGACATAGAAATGATATCAGCTCATACTGGCCTCCTGGGCCAGCTTTGCTTTTTAGGATGGGTGTGTACTCAATTATTGCTGAACAGAGTAGTTTGGGACAGTTTGCATTCCAGTTCATTTACAGGGCCTGTTTGTACAAACTCTGGGTTTTAATTTAGAATCTGAAGAAACAAAAGTATACAGCTATATTTTTAATAGATGTTCCAGTACACTCCTATCCAAGCTAGATGTGAGGTACATAATTTACTGGCTAGAGTTGGTGACTTAAATTCCAGGAGTACATTGAATGCCAGTTCAGGCGGTTTAAGGACAACTTGCATCCTTGTTAAACCATTATCAGCACACAAGATCATAGCAGGAAGGCTCAAGTGAGTTTGTGCAGTCCACATAGTGGAAAGTACTTTCAGGAAGATGAATACATCAGTCTTAAAATTCCTTTGACCTAAATGTCCATCAGTGTTGTAACTATTATTATTTTTAGGCACTGTCTAAAACAGCAGGCTCTCAGAACAGCACAGGTCTGTTCCAGTGTAGCCATCTATTCTTCACAAGTCACCAAAAACCTATGGGGACTGACAGATGAAATACTTTGTAATACATTTGCTTCTCCCATGCTTCTCTTGCTTTTCTCTGTGCCACAACTCCCCAGAATTAGTGGGGGTATTTAGAGGCATAATCTTTGAGCAGGCAAAATAAGAATGTGATTGATTGGCTGGTTTTGGGTTTTTTGTTTGCTTTTTTTTAAACTGAGACAGATGCACTCATTGACATGGTTTTTTCATAGAAAAGCCTACATCAGCAGGCCATGCTGAAGGTAAAATATGGATGTTTTTGCAAAATACGTATATTTCATAGCAAATGGACTGGGGGACACTGGCCCAGATCCTTGGCCTCCCAAAGTCACTGGTTAGTCCAGCTTAAAGTTTACTGGTGAATATGCAAACACCCCACCCAGGCACACCAAAACTGGGGCAGACGCAGACACCCCCCACAGGTGACCCATGGTCCTGCTCCAGTGGTGCTGAGCTCCTTCTTGTCTCACTCATGCTGTGTCCCTGACAGCTGGTTTTGGGAACAGATGCTGTTCCTACCCCAGTGACTGGGGAAGTTCAAGACCCCTGCTGGCTCCAGTAGCTGACACGGGGATTCCACTTGCTCCAGTCACTGGCATCACTGGTCTCACCCCAGGAGCTGACACTAAATTCCCCTCATGCACACAGTGGCTCGACAAGTAGCTGGCACTGAGTGCTTGCAGCATGTTCACAGGGGACAGAAGGATTCTTAAGATTTCATAAGAAGATAGAAGAAGCAAGATCAGACTGCATTGGGCAGGCATGGGGCTTGGCCAGACAAGTGTATTGACCAGCCCACTGGCCCCTCTTACACCTCTTTCTGCCTACCCTCTTTGTTCTCCTGAGCTCCCCCTTCCCTCTGCATCCCCCATCCCATGCATGTGTACAGCTCCATCAGTTCCTCCACCCCTCGCAGTCTGGTCCCCTGATATCAGTTCCAAAGTCCAGGCTGATCTTCCTGGAAGTGGCACCTGTGGTTTCTTGATAATCCATCAGTTAGTGTGAATGGTGAGGTTAGGTTTTTTCGTTGCTTCTGTGTTTGTTTTGACAAGTCTGTGTCTCATTGTATTTTGTTTCTGCTTTCCCCCTTTTTCCCTTAGTCTTCTCACTGCTGGGTCCCCAGTCAGATAACCTTGCTGGAATAAACTTCACACTCTCACGTGCCCTTATCAACTGATGTGACTGACCAGGTTTGGTTCTCATCACAGCCTCCCTTATGACATCAGTCAGGTTTTTATCCCCTTTCTTTTTCATATTTCCTCCTTTTCTTATTATCCCTGTTGCATTGGAAAAGGTCCTTGAGTAGATTCCCTTAAAGGAGTAGACACTCTCCTTCCACATGCTCCTACAGATAACTGTGCCATATAACATGTCCTGCAATTCCGGTCCCAAGTTTGTCCTAACCTGGGGACTTAGTTGAAGAGGTCACATTTCATTCCTATGGTAATGAATGCACTTAGGATTGTTTGCACAGTTTTCATCCTGATTCCTGGGCAAGAGACAGCCAAAGGGAACATAAAGACTGGAAGCTTGCAAGTTCTTTGGAGTGGATTTTTTAATTTTTAAGGGCCTACTTGGATGTACAGAAATAGAGTATTTGCAATAAGCAAGAGAAAAATTGCAGTGTAATGAAGAGATGGTGTAAGTATGGGGAAAGGATAAAGAAAATAAATTCTAACCATTATGACAGTATCAGTTCCATGGAATACCATAAAATGAGTTTCTCTTCCTTGTGTGCTTTGAGCTGTTAAGAGTTTGATACTGCTATCATGTTAAGGATGGCAAACCAGCTGGTCCTGGATGTTTGCACACTTATTTGCAGACATTTGAAGATTAATTTACTGCTACTACTTTTAGATTCTTTTGCAAAAGGGATTGCAACTCCACTGCTAGAAACGAGTCTGAAGCTATGCTCTTCTCAGCTATTGACTTTAACTAGAAATGCCATTAATGTCTGTATTTATATTTTGTATGCCTATTGCCTTAGAATGTATTTTATGGTTTTTGTTTGTTTCTTTGTTTTGGGGTGGGTTTTTGTTTTATTTTTTGTTTGTTTGGGTTTTTGTTTGTTTTTGTTGGGTTGGTTGGTTGTTTTTTGTTGT